AAAATGAAACGACATTACTTTCGGGACAACCTAATATTACCGTTTGAGACATCTAGACTTGAATTCTCATTTTGGTACTAATCTCTCGTAAAAAAACTCATTTCAGCAAGTTCATGCTCATCAATGACGGGTGACTCTCTCAAAGGTGACAATGGCAGCAGTGTCTTCGCTGGCCCTGGCGTCACTGGCGCCGAAGGCATCGACGGCGTTTCAGCTGGTCGAGCTGCGGCAATAGCAGCACTCACAAGGATAATCTGCTCGAAACGAACTAATGAGAAGCTTCCCAATGAACAATTAGGCAACTTTTTGGCAACTATACATGACGCGTTGATTGAGGTGAGCAAGCAATGTTATATTGGAACTTTGAAACTTATATAGAGGTCTTTCCACGGTTCTCTATTCTTGGTCATTCTAGATGTTGAGCATTTGTTGTGTTTTCAAACATTTGAAAATTCTGAAAAGCCGCGCCTTTGTCGCACTTTCGGCACAGGCAGTCACCGGAGCAATCTTCTTCTCTGGTGCAATGTTTTCTACAATGTTTATCCATCTCAGCGCCTATTGTCTGTCTGTTTGGCGCTCGCGCCACTCCCACAATTCGGAAATTCAAAATATCCTATGGATTTTTGATTAATCCTATCTGTAATTTTATTATTCCTGAACTTTCGGTCGTCTAAGTGCTCTGTCTCGGGAACCTGGTAGCGAGTGATATTAGAGCACGAACACAGTATAGAAAAATTATACGGTTTCAGAAGGATCGGCTTGTTCTGTGTTCGTTATTCTTCTATGGGCAAAATCTGTTTCGATTAGGACTTTATGGCGTTGAAGCAATATTACCCCATTATCTGTTTGCGTTGGATATAATCCTTATAGAGAGCTCCAAGCTCAGGTAAGCAGAAGTTTTGCTTTTGTTTATTTTGCTCCGTGTTTTCGATATTTTGCGGCTAGCTGCAACTTTTCTTCCAGATTGCATCCGTCGATCCCTGAAGTGGACATGAGACGAGCGTGCTTGCGGGCGCTCTCCTCAGTTATCTGCTGGCCAACGACCTTCGGAATGAGCAAAATACCCCGTAAGTACCCAGGTCTTGGACACAGGTCTTGGAAAAATCTTCAGACCACTTATACCGTTATAGAGTTGCCTGAGAGTGCCAACCTGAAGTCGTCAGCTACCACATATCTGCAGCTGCGGCCGAGAATTTACAAGACCTTGGTTTTCAGTTTGAGAAATGAAACAGATCCAGTCAATCTGCATTTGACGTTAGGTTAGTGGAATTTATCCGTCAGTTTTCTATGCATAGTTTCACAGCAGTTTTTATGTCCACTGATTTCGTTCATAATTGATATGAAGGAAGAAAGTTTTAGCTATGTGCACAGTCCTCATGGAAGAAAGCTGCGCATTTGATCTTGGGCTAAGTGAAGAGCAAACAGCAGAAATGATCAAAATGACATCACAGCAGCACGGAAATCAGACACCAGAGAAGGGTAAGGATAGTCGTCTACCAGACTTTTTTTTTCAATTTTTATGTCGCATTCTTGTTTTCTGCAGGGTTATGTGTGTCTTTTGTACGAGGATTAGTGTCAGCTATCTGTGATCGAATATGTCGCCCTGAATGGGCTGGTGAACACTCAGTATCGTTGGCTGCCATAGATGTGCTGAACTGCTTGTCACATCTGAATCCTACGGTTTTGTTCAATAATAGTGAGTTTGAGGTTCCTGATATCAAAAATTGTTTTTGGTGGCAAAAGCGACGTCTATTATTTTCCAGAGGATGTTTCCACCGGATCTCTCATAGTTGCATCGCTTTGTCGATTTATTGAGACGCAACTGAGTAAACCGCCTCCATTGCATTCTAAGGATCTGCATTCGACTGTAAGTGGTGGTTTCTCCACTGCATCTATAATTTTGCCCATGTTATTAGCGTAAAAAATTGAGTTTTTTGAGCTTTAAAAATTGAATTAACTTTGTCGAAAACTTGGAGAGTGTGGTTCCTTTCCTGGCCCTTTTCTTTCTAAAAATTCGAATTATAGAGTCACACTTTCGGAAAGCATCTGAAAATTATTAGCGCTACATCTCTCGTAAGGAAAATTTTTTGACACACCTCCAACGGGGAATCTTTTTCGGACTGCCACTGCCTACTGCTTTTTCATGATTGAAGCGTCCTATTTTACCCAGATTTGCTATATTTGGCTGCATTTTATAATGCCTCCCCCTTCAATGTATTCATGTTTTCTGTGAAATCTTTCAGTGAACGGGCTTGGCCTGCCCATAGATTTGAAAATTGAAAGAAGTGGGGGAAGAGAAATGTCTTGAAAAATTCTAAATATTAGGTTGAACCGAAAGTTCTGTCGCACCATTT